TTACCTCCACGTGGTGCACCCTGGGCAACGTATACTCATACGGCAAAAAAGTCTATTAACCGGCATTTGACTTCTGACTTCAAACTATCATCACCCCGCTATATGTCATATACGACTACTTCCACAGTACTCGTCTTACCTTTTACTCTACCTTTGTGTCTGTTTCTGTTACATCTGTGAATCATTATTCTGTCCCCCCTTTCGACTTTTTGTCACTTTGATGTTCCTTCTCCTCTTTTTGAAGCCTGAAGTCAGCTAAATGGCTAATGATATCTATCAAAACGCCTGCCATTTGAAATAAATAAATAAATACCCTCCTTTAGTTTATTAATTGTTTTCAAGATCCTGAGTTAATCTTCAAACTACAGCCAATCTGTACAATTAAATAGATGCGATGGTTCGCATATATATATTACTAAAATCGGAAAAATTTCCTATCGAGGATGCCAATCAACAAGCATACAGCTTTCTAAGATCTCGGAAGTGGGACGGGACCATAGCAACTGTAAGCACCGTGTGTGCAAAATAAGAGATGTGTTGAGTAGTGTATCGAAGTTCACGGTGAATAATTTCATCACACGTTGATGACAATTGAATGTTCTATAAGCCGTCACTTGTAACATTCTCAATTTACTGCTTTAAATAAAAATACAATTTCAATTTAGTTTACAACATTCACACAGAACCATTAAAAGAGCTAGTGATGAGCGATTTCAAATGTCTAAAATATGTGACTAAGGCAATAAAGAGGTAAAGAAAATGCCAAAAAAGACACTTAACATCAAGATTTCGAATAGGATATGACAACTGAGTTTAGGTGTAAGCCATACATTAAACCATTAATTATTACCTATTCAAGAAATTAGGCGAAACAAACGAAAGAGAATCCACCAAGATAGCCCAAGTTTGTTCGCAATATTGTTTAAATTCCGCTCAATTTCCACATAGGAGATAAGCTTTTGGAAGAAACAATAATAGCTGGATGAAGGCGTTGTTAACGAACAAATATAAGGGGTTCGTATTAGGAAGACCAATAATCATTCCAGTCCTATATGCGAGCAATTGTTTTCCTCCAGAAGCATATGACTACGATCGAAAAAAACGACTGAGATCCCATTACCCTCACTGCCTGCATTTACTGAGTCCATTATATTGAAGTTATTGATCGACCTCAATCTAGCTAGAACTTGTTTAAGTTCCAGGACAGTGGACACCTCGTCTTGAATTAGGAAGTGCGATTCGTGTGTAGTTTTTTTCATCTTGGTAAATATAACATTTTAAATGCATATGATGATTCAAAGCAATAAAAAGCATTTGAAAAGAATAGCATAAGTGATAAAGAAGCACGTACATCAAGCGATCTGCAACGCTCGAAGGTACATTCTCCTGGAAAAGTCGAGAATACTCATCTAAATCTCTTCGTTTCCTCAATTGATAGGGGTAAATAGTGTCGAATTCATCACCCTCTTCATAAGACGAAGCATCGGAGCACACCGAGATGGGTCGTTTCGTTCGCTGCTGCTGAGACTCTGACTGAAACGAGGACTGATTGGTCGACACGAGAGACAGGGGGGAAACTGAAGGACCACCAGAAATTGGAGTAAGGCAATTAGTAGAAGAATTCGACGAGCAAGGTTGTACAGCTTCCTGTTTATCCCTTCCTCTTTGCTCTTGAGTCAGAGCCATCTTTTGATGTCTGTGAAAAGTGAAATAGAAGACGGGCATTAATTCATTCAAACCAAGACAGAACAAACAGACAGCATTCAAAAGCAGAAGTCAGTGGTACAAATCGTAAAAGTGTAATAATTACAATGAAATTTTAATACACCAAAACCAAAAAGAGAAAAAGGTGTAAATATATACAACTGCTAAGAGAGGTCTTTTAGGCTATACATTCTCGAGAGGCAGATTCGGGTTGAAATTTCGTTCAAGAGGTGGTGTCTGCTTTCTTCTGTAATGGTGAATCGGTGACTTTTGAGTCAATGCAATCATATGAAGATGACTGGTGCTTTTTTTCCCGATCTTTCTTCGGTTTAACGCAATCAATCTTAGCTTCCTTTCGAACACTTTTCGACTTAGATGTAGTACTCCCTTTACTTGAGGCAGCGCTCTTGTTATCAGGAGCCGATTTCGAAGTCTTAGATTCATGAACCTTTGACTCTGATTTCCTCGTAGTTTCTTTGTCTTTATCTTTACTAGTTTTAGAGTTGCTAATACTTGACCTTTTGGTATCAGTTTTCCCTGATTTTTCAGAGTTTTTTGAGCTACGACGGGGTTTCTTACCGGAAGCTAATTTCCCTGATTTATCCGACTCTTTTGGTTTGCCGATCTTCTTATCCGAAGTAGTTTTATCATCCTTGTGGTTGCCAGAACTCTTACAGAGTTCCTTTTCAATAGGCTTAGTCTCCACTTCGGTGGAAATTTTAGACTGTCTCCTGGATGAAGGACAAGTATTTTTCTGTTCAAGACGTAGACGTTTAGTTCGAGATGAGTTACTATTGCGATCTCTTTTAGAAGAAACAGAACGTGATTGGTGTCCTTTCCGCAAATACGATCTCGAGCGATTACGTTTAACTGGTGATGAAGGCCTGCCTCTTCGAAAAGAACGAGATGGTGAACGACGTCGGTGGGAACGAGATGGTGAACGACGTCGGCGGGAACGAGATTTTGAACGGCGCAAAGAGCGAGATCTGGAGCGTCTTTTTAACGATCGAGATCGAGGTCGCCTATGAGAGGAATGCGTAGGCGATCCCCTGCGACAGTTATCAGGAGACTTTGATCGCCTAGATTTTGAAGATCTTCGGTTAGAATGTGATTTTTGAGGGCTACGAGATCTAGATTTTCGTTTTTCTAAAGATGACGGTTGCTTCGAACTGCGAACTTTATTCGAATCAACTCGGACTTTTGATCTAGAACGAGAGCGGCGTTTATGATCCACAGTTTTGTCATCTTCACAAGGGAGAACTTTTTCAGAATTAGAAGAGAATGGCTTTGTCGAATGTTCTTGATCGCTTTTAACTGGTTCAATTTTGGAAAACTTGGAAGCTAAACCGCTCTCAGAAGCCTGAGATGCGTTGTTCATTTGAGCATTAAGAGTCTCCGTTACGGAGTTAAGAGGGTTAGACAAATTTTGCCTGTCAACAATCCCACCGTTTTGCAGTTCGGCCATAATTTCAAGTTCATCTTCCCTAGTGGGCTTAAATAATTCCGTTTTGCTTTCGATTTCTGGATGTTTGGGCTTAGTAGGTAATACACCTGTTCGAAGCGTACCAGGCCGGGATCGTTTATTAACTGATTTGATACGAAACGATAAAAGTGGGCTATCTGATTTAGTAGTGCCATCATTGACAATTTCGGATCCATTAGCAAGGGGTAATGGGGGAGGCGGAGGAATAATATTATTGAAACTGAGAGATGAATTGGGGACAATATTATCTGGAGGTAGAGGAATATTACAAACTAAATTATTAATAGAACTATCTACACAATTTTGAACGAGGCCTCCTATTAAATTAAGATTAAAAAATATAGAAAACGCAAACCTGGCAAAGGTATAGCACCAATATCTAGGCAATCGCTTTTATCCTCTATCTCGCTAATAAAAATAGAAGTTACAAATCGTGGTTAACTTACTCTGTGGGAAAAGCCGGATCGTACTCCATATTAAGGTTAAAAAGATCAGCCACTAGGAATTAAAATCAGCCCGGGTTTATAAATATTTATTAAAACTCAGTGCATGTGTGAACGTTAAAGCATACAATTTAATTGCATGTTCGATTTAGATCTTAATAGCCTTTATTTAGCATAATGCATATTTTGATCCGTTTCTCAATAAATGTGGGAACTGTATGCATTTAGAGTCAAAGAAATTATACGAATCTTTTTTATAACTAAAATTGTAAGTAAAGCTAGAAAACCTGCATTATATTGGTCTTTTTACTGTATACACTATGGAAATAAGTAATATATTGAGGGTTATTTCGTTTTTATTTGAAATTTCATAATTTATAATGGCATTATATTTAATATGCATCTTTTTCTTAGTCGTCAGTTTAATATAACATCATTACATTGGTTAAATTCAGCATAATGAGATACCTTAATTTTTAGAAGCAAATAAGTTTTAAATGGAAGCATGTCATCGTAAGACACCAATTAAGACAAGCAAATAGATATCTCATCGTTGCGATAGTATTTTTTTATGAATCAACGGACCCATTAATGAATAATTTTATGAGCTACTTGTCTTTCTGAGGGCTAGGTTTAGCATCCAACCTCTGTAAGTCAATAACAAAGAGAATGGTTTTAGGCTCCTATGACATTAGCAATTTTGACTTCCTGCTTCAATATCAGATTTTCTGCCGTATATTATAAGTAGGTTTTCTAATTCATCAAATTGATTGATCCGTTTAATTAAACTTTTGTCGAACATTGTTTTGCCTCAGTTTATTTAGCAACTATGTTTACTCTCTTTATCAGTGTTTAAAAACCAGTATCTCAAATTTTTTAACCTCGTTCTCCTCGAAATGCTATATCTTTCGCTATTGAACATTCACCTTGACAATCGCGGCATACGATTCAATGGAGACTCAGTTGAACTCAATGAGACTTATTTCCCACTTCTAATGGGGGTAAAAAGTCTGCTATCTACCATTACTCTATTGACCAACAATTTGCCTATATTGATATTTATCCATTGCATCCTTGTTAGATATACGAAGGTACGCTAGATATCGACATTTAATCAATAGTCTCAATTAATAGACTGAAAAAGGAATATTTCCTCTTAAAAAAATCCTGGAAACCGATGAGGTTTATGACAATTAGATTACTGACAACACAAACATTTCGGTCTTTTGTTTCTAAGGCTCTCTTTTAAGAAATATATAAGGATTGGTATTCTAACAACTTTAAAAATTATAACTTTTAAGAAGTTTCAAAGTTTGTATCTATTGATTTATGTTAGAATAAGTAAATAACTTGTTTGAGATAATTAGTAAATTTCGATTGGTCCATCATACAAAATGTGAATATTCATTGAGTACTATGCTCCTAGTGAGTAAATAAAAATAATTTGACAATAAAATGTATCTTTTAAAAACTAAAAATTTAAGGTTTCTTTGGACATAATGGTGTCGACACTAGATGACATATTGACCGCCTTTCTAGTGGATAGTCAACATGGGGCGGCGTCAGGATGTCAAGTCAAAAAGGGAGGAGGTGCGTGCGCTTAAGGCACATGCTCGGATAAAACCCATGAATTTATCTAAAACATTATTTGAACTAGTGGAGTATATTACTCAACGCGAAGGCAAAGACCCTCTTCTCTATCCCCCAAAAGACAACCCATTCCGTGAAAAGAAAATCGCTTGCGCCGTTCTCTAAGTAATCATTTCATTCATTTACTCACCGTTGCATTGTTTGTCTTTGATGCCTTATAATTTAAGCTCTTTCAATACTCTTCGTAGCTTTGCTTCCGACAATCTTGTCTAAAGCGTATCACTGCGTTCTCTTTAGGGAACATATCTTCCCATTTGTCCCACATCTGTTCTTCCTTACTAACACTGTTTCTTCCATTATTATGTTCAAATAATAATATTTTTAAAACTTTTATCACGCTTGTTTATTGCTGAGTAGCATTTTACCTCTCAAAGGAGCTTGTGAAGAATGAACTGGGTGTTCCGGTTATATAATTTTTTTGCATGATTCCTACCTGAGTTTGTAATTTTTAAAAGCATTTATTCACTAACTTCGCTGATTTTTCCAAATTCAACTTGCTTGTTTTGCAGTTCTCGAAATGAAAGCCGGTTTTATTTCTTTGTACCGAATTCGTAAAATAACTACCCACCCTTTTCTCTTAATTTGATGCAGATGAATTCGCTGTTATCTGGTGGACCTAGCATTTAACAATTTTCTAATATTCGGGGTAGTTTTATTAAATATCACTTATTTCCTCAAATGCAGTGGAAATTGCACTTATTAAAAGTCCTCGTCTTTGCGTAGTTCCTTCTAAAGGATCTCAAACTCGTGGCCTTTGATTTGGCAAATTTACAATTTGTTGTATTTCACAGAATGCCAATTGCAAATCCATACTTTTATTTTCCTAAACGAACTTTTACTGAATGGGTATGTAGGGGAAAAAACAGTAAAATACAGTCTCAACCGGCCTGGCTTGTGTTTTAGCAGGCATACTGCCAGGGCTGAACGCCTACGAGAATTCAAGCGATG